ACTAAAAAGAAAACATCCAAAGAGTACTCTAAAGGAGAGGTGATAAGTGAGACAACAAACAGACATCAACCTTTTTCCTTTGGATAAGTATAAATGGACATCACTTTTATGAACAGACAAGTTTAATCGGGTGAAATGGTGCAAAAAAAAGACTCTAAAATGTCACATCAATGAATAACCACTGACCTCACACATACTAAATGGATTTGTTTACAACTATGTAATATCTGTTACTGGTATGTGCAGTTCCTAACTCTAGTGTATTTGAAGAATATGAAATGAAATAATACTCATACGCATGTCACACCCAACTCTGCAAGAACAATGCCACTGCGTTTTTTGTTCAGACAGTGTGGAAGGAAAGAAACAGAAGACTACTCCAGACTAGTGAGAGAGACATGAACAGCTTGAATAGAAATTTGCAGCAATTTACCGGGTTGGATTTCTATAATGGAAAACATAAGCACATTAATTAAAAGAAGCTGGAAACAAACATGAATTCTGCATATAAGATCATCCATGAAGTTTTGATATGCAACAACATAAAATACACATGAAAAATAAAAACTTGTCCAGATAGCAGAAGAATAAATTCTTCTACAGACCAGACTCACCCTTTGAGAGAGTCGTACAGCACTTTCTTTCCGATTTTCATGAGGTGTAATAACAGGAAGGTACTCAACCTGCACATTACTAAACAAAGTGAGACAATTGTTCAAAAGTTCAATGAAATCCCAAAGATGTAGAAGTTAAGACTTCCAAAGTTCCACAGTAGGTCATATTTTTAAAATTTATTTATCATTTTAAAGAATATATTTAGCAAAGTTTAAAAAAGACGGTATGAAACAAGCACACTGAAAGCACATAATAACGTCTTCCCAGTTAAATCTTTACAACTAATGAATCAGTGCAAATTGGTCAACAACTTCTAAAACTATCAAAAACATGTTGTAAAATACTTAAAGCTGATGAACCAAAGCAGATAGGCCCACAAGACAACTGGAAAAGACCGGCTGGTGTCTTGACTAACCATAATGAAGATAAGTTTGTCTAGACTATACCGGACATAGATTAATACAAAGATAAACACACATTTAAAAGTGCCAGTGTACCAAATCCAGCAACAGTCAGCAGATTAATCCCCAAATTTCACTGGAACTGAAGAATAGTCATGGTTTTCATTAACAGCTCAAAAAAAATTATAAGGTCATGAACAGGTAAAAATTGGCAGTCATACACCATCACATTGATAAAGTCATTCTGCTTAATAACTGATCCCTAATAGATGCATATACGTGTAAGGAAGCAGATTTTCATATGTGAAAGGAGCAGAGTTCTGGACATATGACTCGTAGCAGAAAAGCATCATAGATTTGGAGCGTGACACCATAGGAAGTCACCACATTGAGCAGTGCATACATGTCCATGAACAGTTAGTCACATATTTTCTTACTGCAAGTCATACGTACCTCCATGAAATTGTGGAACTGTGTGAACATTCTAAACATCAGCATTGCTAGGGATACATTCCCCCTGTACGACAATGAAAACCCACATGAGGGTGATATAACTAAAACAAATCAACAGCAAAGTACTTGATGAGAAGGAAGAGTATACCATGACTGATCAAAATGTACGTGGGGATACCGCACAATAACAGGCTGGATAGGATATCCTGGGATAAATGCACCAAGTTGAAAGGAAATAATCGATCTTCCATTGGTTGTAGTCCCTTCAGGAAATAAAAGCACTCGGGGAAATTGATCGCAAGAAGCCTTTCTCTGTTTTCAGATCCTTGAAAGCATATTTCTGTATCAAATAGCTATATATTGCTAGAAGCCTAGAACACTTCATCTTCATATTTATACATTCAGGAAAGATTATTTATTTACAAATTATGGATGGAGCTGTTCACTAATTCTATTTCATAGCTAAAGTACAAAGTGAAACTTTTGTAGTTATGCATATAAATATGTGCCAAGTATTCCTTATGAAGGGAGCTAAATAGATGGTTGCTAAAGGGAAAATTACTTCTTCAAACCTTTTTATTGAACTGAATAAGAGAGTACATGGACTTCATAAAATTTCTGCCATATAAATTTTACTGACATTTCTTCTTAGTGGCAACTTTTCATGTACCAGTTTAATTCTAAATAAAGGTTACCTCAATATCAAGTGAATAACTGTAAATAAGTCATTACCATGACGGCTGTCAGATACACCAGTTGGAAGTTTAAGGCTTTAGAAATGGAAAAATACTTGTTGATAAAAAAGATCAAGAGTTGTTTATGGATCAGATATTATAATTTGCCCATCTTCTACAATCCTTAGCATGTCGGCAAGTGGTTGAACAAAAAAAAAATTGCTCAAAAACTACCTCCAGACTTCAATAGATTTGCATCTATTTGTAGAATAGAGCTCAACCTAAGATCCTGAGACCTGGAACTAAAGTAGCAGGTTTACCTGGGATGGAACATAACATTTCATATCTCCAAGGTAAACCTCAATAACACATTCTGAAAACATCTATAATACAGATGCAACAGTGATCATGGGCCTACTACGTGTAAGAAGTAGATTTAACTAACCTTAGAATGAAATGCTCTAACATAATAACCAAAAAGAAGTCTTATCATCCGATAGCATCAATAGAAAAAAACAAGAGACCATCTTATAAACAAAAAAAAGGCAAGAGACCAAAGACAGATACTATTTACCTTTATTTCATTTATAGCGTGCTTTCTTGAAGTGGGAGAGAATCTATTTACATATATCACCTGCGAAACAAGTTCAGTATCCTAATTACAGAAATATATACCAAGCAAGCTGAGGCAGAATAAACTGGATGAAGAATTGGAAGCTAGAATCAAATGAAGAAAGCCTGTGTACACAGTGGCGGAGCCAGGATTTTCAATAAGGGGGTTCAAAATCTAAAAAAATAGACACATGAAGTAGCCGAAGCGGGTTCGACATCTACTATATATACCTAAAAAGTTATTTTAACCATGTATAAATTATATAATTTTCCGCCGAAGGGGGTTCTGAACCCCCTAATAGTAAGGTGGCTCCGCCACTGTGTGTACAAAGGACAAAGCATAAACTATATGTAATAGCACCAATAGGCTAACAAGTAAAAAGAAAATTTGAGATAGTGTTGTTGTGCCCATTACCTGCATAGCTCTGATAATGGTTCCGACGAAAGGCATGGAATCATGGGACTCGGAGGCAACAATTGTTGGAAATAATTCATAGAAAAAGAAGATAGGGTCTATGTACGATACATGATTAGATACAACAATGGGAGCTATCTCCCTTGGTGCGGGTTTTCCTTTTCGTCTTATCCATTGATACCTGGAACAGTAAATAGGAAAGGGAAAAGGAACAAAAAATAATAATTATCGTCAGACACAATGCACGGAGAGAGAATCTAATAAAACAAATTCCTTTAACTTTGACAAAAGTTAACAAGACCTCTTTTAAAATGCACCTACCTGTTTGACTTGGACAGCACAAAATGCCTGACTTATCAACTAACAAGCTAGTATTCACATTGAATACCACAATGGGATTCTACCCCACTTACTACAAGATGAAACCACTAATCTTATAAATCCATGTTACACTAAAAACTGCTACAAGAAACAAAGGGAAAAAGACTAATAGAAGAACTTCAAACTTGGGAAAGGAATACTAAAAAGTTACTTGATCTTTAAAAAAAAGGAATACTAATAAGTTTAATAAGGGTATATTTAATGATCAAAAAATGTCATGCAAGGATAAAACTTATTTAATTGAGTGAACTAGGCCAGTAGTCTCCCTTAAAAACATAAATCTGCCACTAAATTTCACAAGAGTTCCAACACCTGCAAGCGATATAACACCCACAGGTTTCCCCAGAGCTCCAACAACTACGAGCTAAATAATATCCCAGGTTTTTCACCGCCTCCGTCACCATTCACGTCTTCAATAGAGAAAAGAACAAAATCTCAAGCTTACTGTACTGATGTTTTATTTAATCACTTAGTTTCCACTTGACCTCAGAAAAGAAGCCATCTTGAGAAATGTCACTTGAAATGGGGTTGATGAAAATAGTAAACAAAATACCAACAAGCACAACTCATTACTTTTACTGAATAACAAACTTTTCATTTCAAAAAATACTTTTAACAGTCATAATTCAACTGACACTTCAGGTTTGAGTGTTAGTTGCACAAAGAATTTATGGCAATATAGGGGAAAATGTTCAGATAAATGACTGGCATAATGTGCCCATCCAAACAAGAAGTAATCTTGTTCAATTAAAAGAAGGTAACAAAGGGATTTCGATTCCAATTTTATATATATTAACTTTTACCCTTCGGGGTGGCCCAGTGGTTTGGGCTTGAGACTTCCATGTTGGAGGTCTCAAGTTCGAAACCCCTTGCCAGCGAAAGCAAGGGGTTTGCCTTCTGGGTCAAGCTTATCGCACCGGGCTTGCCTAGTGTGGATTACCTCTCCTATGTGGTTTGCGAGCTATTGCATAGGAGCGGGGGTTTTACCCTGTGCGCACCCAAAGGGTAGCGGTTGCGGGTTTCCCTTGTCATAAAAAAAAAAGGTAACAAAGGGATTTCGTCAAAACACTAAGAGCAGGAGAAGGAAAGACATATCTTCACCAAGTAGCCATAGGCCATTAAGAAAAACACAACAGAATAGATATTAACATATCCAGTAAAGAAATGGGAAAACTAGTGAAAAAAGCAAGTCTTTTCAGATCACAAAGTTCTTCCAAGTATCCTATTCTCTTTTTGAGATTGAAAGGATTACTTAATACTAACAGAAGGATGACAATGAACCAACACCAAGAAAGACATAAAGGAGTAGCTGGAAGAGCTGTACAAGGTGAGGAAGGTCCACAAAAGTGGGCCAGAAAAAAACAGGTCTCAAGTTGAAAAAGAGATGAAATACGCCTATGTTTTCAATGAAAGCAACTGTTTGGGAATAAGAGAAGAGTCTAACTCAACTTCAGGAAAAATCTCTGTGAGTTGATTGCCAGAAATGGATGTTAACCACTTATAACTGAAGACAAGAAAGAAAAAAACTACGCATCAATGAGAAGTGAAAAGATTTCAGGGCCTTAAGAAAGGGAAAAGAACTCCATGACTGAAATCAGATGTATGATGTTGGAGTGTAGGTCTTAGTATTCATCCATGCATACAGGTTCATCACCTTGATGTTACTTGTAACAAAATTAAACAAAAGGAAAATCAAAATGATTATCAAGCACTTAGCAGAAATGCCTTTTCAGAAACCTCCCCAATCTCTAGAAATGGAATAGTGTAGCTTGTAGGTTTATACTTACTGCAAGTTAAAGTTCTATCCTGTCCGACTCAAAAGTAGGATAAAATTTTGGTCTTGCAACAATCATAGTACTGTTCCATTTTATTGGGCTTGTCTCAGCAACATATCCAACAGGGGCGCCCATAGGTATCCAATGCAAGTAAATCTAGCTCTTTTGATGATCCACAGGAAGTATTCAAACCCATATCACACCCATCTCCAACCATATGTGTCGAGCACTCATGCATATGAAGGATCGATGTAACAAATGAAGATTCAATGCAATACAGGTGCTATCACAATGACACGGAAAGAGACACAAAGTTACTTAGCAGCTCTATTGAGAAAAAAGTGGATAAATTATTCTCTCAACCTTTTCACAAGTAACCAGAAAATAGACAAACAATATTTTGATCTTTCCACAATTAAGTCTTGCTCAAGAGAGTGACTTTTATCAACACAACTCATGAAATCCTACTCCTTTACTTGGAGAATCTTATTTCATCAAGCAAATTAAACAAAGTAGCATTCTTTTACTGACCAGACCAAATTTACAAGTAAATGATTGAATAAATACCCGAAAGAGAAGAGGATAGTTCGTGCACTCATCCGGGTAACCCACATCAATCTAGACCTCCATTTAGGCATAGGACTGCTTCTATCTTTCCATCCTAGCAAAGCAGTCCGCGTAGCCACATAACCAATCATCAAAGCCAACCCAAAAAGTACCAACCTCACCAAGGTAATCGGCAAACACACAACAATCTTTAACCATTCATAGACCCCTTCAACTCTAGGTGTATTATTCCTAAACGGGTCAACAGTGGTGGATCCGGGCATGTCGAACCTATTCGCTCCAAGAAACGCATATGGGTTATCATCCACCTCCGAAATATGGGTACCCAGATGATCGCCGTTTGATAATTGATGTTGTACCCCATCGTCTTCGACGGTGAGAATCACGTGCGGCTCAGGCGCGTGTTCTTGATCGTCTCCGTTGGATTTGTGTGGGAGGTGATCGGAAGGTAAAAGAGGAGCAAATATAGAATGGTCCGACATTGCCGGAAAAAGATTGCCGGTGGCCGGAAGCGGGGAGGGAGTAGTAGTGAGTAGAGAAGAAGAATGGGAGGGAAAAGGGATGGTGAAAAGGGTGAGAGAGAGAGAGAGAGAAGGGGAAAAGACTGACAAATTAACGATTTATGTGGCTATAAATGCTTTTTTTATTGAAAAAAACGACAAAAAATTCGCGACAAAATCGGACAAATGGGTAATTTCACTTGTTTGGGTGGATTGTTCACATAGGTGGGCCGTGAATAGTGACAAACAAGGGTAAATATTTATTCAACAATAAATCTATTTTCATCATTTAAAATTTACTGGCTATTTACAATTTTATCCAAAAAATAATAAATACATACATTAACTTTATATATTTTTTTTTTATTTGGTATGCTTTTTCGTTAACTAATACCAACAGACCAACATGGATTGTGATGTACTGGTGAAAGTGTTTCAACCTTAATCAGAGGTCTCGGGTTTGAGCCTTGGATATGGAAAAAATTCTATTGGGAGCGCCACCCCCGAATGGGCCCTGCAGAGTGCGATCCGAATTTAGTCGGAGCTCCAATGTGGACTCACAGATTTTAATATATACATTAGCATGATCATAGACATAATTTCCTTTCAAAATCTTTTTTCAAGTTTCTCTGTATTTGTGGAGAGGGTATTTTGGCAAACAAATATTTTTCTTAGAAAATATGTAATTCATATTATTTTTAATAAATAAAAACAAATAGTGCATAAAAAATAATCTTATATCACAAATAATGTCAGAATTACTAATGTCAGTAATATTAATACATTATATTCTATACTATTTTTATACTCAAGTGAAATTGTCCAAATACAGCTACATGTCTCATGACTCCAAGTCTCCAACAAGATAACTTCTATGAAATTTCGTTTTAATGTCTTATATACTCTCCAAATACATTGGCATTTTGGTTCCTTCTTAATATAGCAAAGTAAAAGCTACACAGAGCAACATAAATTTGATTTTAAAAAACTTATTTACGCAATTGAGAATAAAAAAAGAGGAACGATGGGACCTAGAAACATGAAGCTATTTATATACTATAATAATTACTACTACTATTATATAGTTGACATAACATGGTGTGCTCTTGATTAAATAAAAAGGAAAAAGGAAACATCATTATTCTTGTAGCAGTGTGTAAATAACAGAAAATCAAGTTTAGACTAAAAATTGAAAAATAATATTCTTCGCTTCAATTTGTTTGTTTATTTTAATTTATTTAATATAGAATTTAAAAAGTATCTTAAAAATAAAAAATAAATTTTGATTTAAAAAACAAAATGAGGAATTAGTTTTGACGACCTTGTTGATTGTGAAGAATTTTTCATTGTTTAAAATTATTAAACTATTCAAAGTTCGAAATGAATGTTTGATATTTTTTTTTATATTTAACTTTTTTTTTATTGAAATTATATATTTTTAAAAATTATATATATATATTTAAATATTTTTCTTAATATATATGCATTGTCTAACAAATTCAATTAATATGGAACCGATGAAATAAGCAAGATGTAGATTTTTTTTAAATCATGGCCGGTGGACCATCACACGTTACAAAAGTATATACCTAAAGGTTAAACCCATGCCCATCATATTTTAATTAGCCACGTGTGCATTGACGTGTTTGTTAGAGAAATATTTTGATACGAAAATATTTATATTTCTATGCATCATCAAATCAATAAAAAGACACATGAGTGTAATAGATAGAGAAAATACCCAAAAATGATTTATCCTTTTTTAAAAGATGTTATTTCTCAACTTTAAATATTGAGAAAATTAATAAACATCCCTAAAAAAGATTATTAAACGATTGAGCCAGTATTCCTCACATATTTTTTTTATTATTGCCTATTTGTGTGCCTTGTAAAGTTGTAATTATAGAATAATAAAAATAATTAATTCGAGAGGGAGTAATTGAAAGGACAAAAACAGTACGTGCTGAACTTCAATCAAACAGAAATTCGGAGTAATCAACATGTCAACGTTAACCCACCACCTCATGTTATCTGTGGCTCTCCCACATTTTCGTTCTCACGTTACTCCCACGTGGACAATCTTCTTTTGAGAGTATTCTATTCTAAGATTTCGATTAATTCAGATTCAAATTATCAAAAGCTTAATAATTCTCACCTCATTATTAGATACCTACTTTGGAAACTCATTAATCTCAAGTCGAAGGCTTATTAAAGGATGAAACTATTTTTTATTTGTAAAACTTTTATAGGGAGTTGTTTAATACGAGAGATAAGAGATAATAATTAAACAGTAAAATGTATGATTATTTTATCTTGCATTTAATTAAACGTATTAATTAGTTCTAGAATTATTAATCCTTTCATATATACTAGAGAGTCAACCTTAAAATCATCTGTCTATTTGACTAATTAAACTTAGGGGTAGTTTGGTTTGAATTCAAGTTAGAGTGGGATTAGTTATAATGGAATTATTATTATTTTTGTTGAGTGTTTGATTTGTTGTATTCAAAATAATAAATTTTAAGAACAATTTATTTGTTTACAAAAATACTCTTTATGAATGTGAAAAGTGATGTATAAAAAGAGTTTAAAGGAATGTTTTTATCATTTACTTATTTTATCTCGTAATAAGTTATCCCAGAATTACTATACCACCCAAGTGAAGAGATAATTTATCCCGATACTAATTATTTATTTCGGAATAAATTATCATGGACGTGCCAAGCAAACAACAAATTAAGTGGCATTACAACTTAATCCCAAAATTATTTGGTGTTATCCTTTACACCGAGCGACCCCTTAGATATACCCCACATGACATAGCAAGTGTCTCAAACTTTTGTAGGGGCATGAGACTCTTGATGAAAATGTTGAAAACATACAAAATTTGACAAGAATTTAAAAATGTATTTCTTTCAAGTTGTAAGATCAAAAATGTATTTAAGTTCATTTATCAAATAAAAAGATATTTTTAAGAGAATCAATAGTTTAGAAATAAAACTAATAATTGATTGCGAATAGTAATGGTTCCATAGGATAAGTTAAAATAATGAGATTGTCCCCACTTAATGTTATGTCAATTATCTTTGCAATATTTAAAAAAATACAAATCTATTACGCTAACATTTAAACACCAATATTTATGATGGACCAAGAATTAAAAATATTAAACTTTCGTATTCCAATCCCCTCATCCTTGTTGAATCAGTGAAAATATTTATCGACGTTTTTCTCCACAAGTAACTACTTGGGCAGACATGTTCTTGCTCTTTTGGCCAAAAGTTACCAGTGGAAAAAACTAATACCAATAGATGCATGACATATGGTTGCAAGTGAACTTTTAACAGTTGACCACAATTGATCACATAATTTATTCACTTAAACATCATAAGTTGGGATCAGGCGTGGAAAATAAACAAGTGATTTTGGGATCTGTTTGCATTGAGATCCACAAAGAGCATTTGTCAGGATAGTATAATACTGCACCAGAAATTTCTCACCTAAGTTGGTAAGAGATTGGGACTTAAATAATCAGCAAGCACGTGATATTCTTCACTCCCCGCAAATCAATATATTTTCCAACTTTTGGAAGACCCAACATGAAAACTATATGCTATCTATCTATTCTATATATACAACGAATGACAGCTATCTTCATTCTTCCACAACCTGTGCAACTGTTTTCTGTAAATAAATAAAATTAAGTATGGTAGATCTAGTCAGGTCAAGAAAGGAGACACAACATATATCTAACCATTTACCTTGTATTTGGTCGACGTATTGTGTATTGTTATTTTTCCCTCCGCTTGACTTGCAATAACTATAATCGCTTGAAGCCCAAAAATATTTATCAAAAAATGATCTAATCACTGTCGCCAGAATAATAATCACTGTTTCCTGTAATTCCTTCTCCGTTTTGGTTTTCAACCTCATGATCATCCAAATCATTACCGGAATGATCAAATGGTTCTCTTTCTGTAAGGAAGAACCCATCCTCAGAAGGCTTGTAGTTTTGACCCCTCCATACCACAATCTGCTCTTTATCAAATGTCACGAGTATACAAGGAACCAAATCCTGCCATTGACACAAGTTAGCGAACACAGTATTTAGCAGCATGACAATCACTATATTGCCGGCATGTATATCAGAACAATCTTTGAACATCAATTACATCCCAAGTCTTAGTAGCATGCCGATCACTATTTTCATCCAAATGGATATCACAGCATTATTCCAAACATTTAGCTCTTCTAAGTTGAAGTCTTCATTTCAAACAGATGTGAACTGAATGAGATAGAACTAGCTACTGCAGTTCTAGGAATATTAACCAACAACCCCCCCCCCCCCCCCGGCAGC